TTGCTTTAAAAAGTAGTAAAAAAAATCGTCCCAAACAAAACAAGAATCTCATTGCCCCTCAAGCTCCACCATTGAAGCCAAACACTATTCTCTATGCTAAATGTAAACTCACGCACATTCAGAATCCAGGATTTATGTATTTCAATTACATTTACAAAATTGACCAGCCATCACAGTACGTGGAACTGCACTTTTCTGAATTTCCAACCAGCGCGTTTGGAAAAGTTTGCTTCCTGAATCTTGAACTCTAGAATCCGGCTTGGTAATTACTGCACTAAAACTCAAGAGAGTTTAGAATCTCAAGAGAGTTCTTAGAAAATAGCAAGACTTAGGTTTCATTTGGCACGGCTTTCTTACTGTTTTTTTTTGTACTAAATCCTGGATGAAGAAATGAATTTCTTGTTTCAGAAAGTTCTTGGAGTGCTTAACATGCATTTCTAGGAGTACGAGAGCAGGCTAGTGCAAAACTATCCAGTGTTTTGTTATGTTATTACTACAAGGTTGTTGGTATTGAAGGCAAGATAATTGGCCTTTTTTGATAAATAAACATGTACAAGACAATGTTGCACCGATAAGGATACGGCGACACGGTTACAACATGATACGGATACGGGACATGTTAATTCTTAAAAATACAGGATACGGTACGACGCAGACACGACATTATAATTTATAAATTATACATAAAAATTAAGAAAGCAATCAAAGCAAATATTTAAAATTACCAAAAAAAAATGAAAGCAATATCATTTGTAGCCTTGTATCTTATAATATCAAAATAAAAGTATGTATTAAATGGAGAAAAAGGATTTATGTAGCTGACCCCACATAGTGGGATAAAGGCTTGATGTTGTTGTATTAAATATCTAGTACAACAACAAAAATATAAACATAAATTGTCTAGCACATGAAGTTTCAACTATTCAATAAAAGAAATGATATGATTAGCTTCTTCAGTGGTTTGTCTTTTCATCAAATGAAAGATTAGCAATTTCTAATATTCTCATATCGCAAAGAGACTCAAATCCATCTCGAAAATGAGAGAACCTCGCTCGCAGCCGCGGAAGTAAATTATACACGTCATTTTTATGGATTTTTTTTGTTTTTCAACGAACACGCATATCAGATACAGCGTGTCCTTTTGAAATTAAATAGTATTTTAATTGGATGCGGCTTTACAGTATCCGACACGTATCGGAGGAGTATCCGTGTATCGGATACAGCATGCCTTCATAAATAGGTCTATCGGTGCAGCATAGGTACACGATGATGTACATAAACATTTAAGCTACAATATGAAGAAAAATTTTAAAATTATGCTGTTCATCGCTGCCTCTTCAATGCAAGAATTACACTTATATTTCAAAAGCTCATGAAGTAAATACCATGCTGGAAGTTGTATACTTTTCAAATATAAATTTCTACAAGCTATAAACATTAGAGTACTCAATTCATAACTATTACAACTCTATTTGTTTCAATTCAGAAAAGAAGAGCCATCCCCTAATTATTTCATGAAAAATGGTAGTGAATTCCAATCTGCAATACTGATACAAAAACAAGGGCAATGATTCAAAATAGATGAAGTTGAACATGGAACTATAGAAAAGTTTGCACTTACGCATAAATTCTCTTTTTAAAAGATTATGGTGGGATGTTCCACTATTTAAAACTTGGGGTTTTTACATACCTAACACTTGAATCTATTCTATTTACTTATCTAACACCTAAACATTACTATTTACTATTCTACCATCTAAAACCTTTTTCCTCATTAAAACTACCACTCCGTAACCTCCCGTCTAATCCCTCAACGTATGATGCCTTCGTCGGCAACAATGACCGCTACTTCCTCGGTGGCATATGCTTCACTGCTCTGAATTGCTAGTGAGACATTATGCTCACCACATGGGTTGGTATTAGACGCGGCTTCGACCTCCCAATCTAAAATTTACCTATCGCGGAAGCTCTGGTACCTCCGCATCACTTTGATCGAGGCACAAGAAATATCGACGCCGACGAGTGAGATCTCTCTGTTCATATACCACCATTCAGTATAGTTTCTCTCGTTTTTTTCCTCATTTTAACTAGGGTTTTGCTAGCATTCATCATCTCAGGATTTGAGATTAGAACTACTCATTTAAGAGTTTATGATCGAGATCTATGAGTTTGTCGGGGGAGTCGTGTGGGTGTCTTCAATTTGCTTTGGTGCGTAAGTTTATGCTTTAGGGAGTCCTTGTGCGAGCTTAGGTTTCAGGGGAAAGCACTAAAGTGCGGCTTACAGGTCATCACACAAGGGAAAATCTCAAAGCTCTGTCCATGAGCTGCATGAACCACCTGCAGGCATCCTGCAGAGTCGCTGGGCCAACCTTCCTTCCAAACTTCTTTGTGATGTGATTAGAAGACTGGAGGCAAGTGAAAGCACATTGCCTTCAAGAAAACATGTTGCATGTGCCGCTATCTATAGACAATGGAGGGAATTGTGCAAAGAAAATGTCATGAGTCCAGAGCTCTCCGGGAAGCTCACCTTCCCTATTTCCTTGAAGCAGCCTCGTCCTCGAGATGGAATGATCCAATGCTTCATTAAGAGGGACAAGTCAAAATCAACCTATCGTCTTTACCTCTGTCCCAGGGAGAAGCGACTGAGTTTAATCCACTCGCCCTGGAGAAGATGAGTGGCGCAAGCGGCGTGCGATCGAGACGTTCACACGGATTCCTGCGCAAAGCGAAGCAGGCGTTTCTGAAAGAGTCGGGTTGAGGTATTTGACGGGAGGTCACAGAGTGGTAGTTTGATGAGGAAAAATGTTTTAGATGGTAGAATAGTAAATAGTAAAGTTTGGGTGTTAGATAAGTAAATATAGTAGTTTTAAGTGTTAGGTATGTAAAAACCCCTTAAAACTTTTCATACTGGGCAATTCCTTACAAAGGATGGGCCTCAAGTAACTGGTTAAGTTGAATCTATTGTAGCTTGAAGATCATGAATTCAAGAAAATAGTCTTTCAATACTGCATGTCCATCAATCACTCAACATAGCCTTAGAAATTGCAACTATGTCTTTGTGGCTTCATGAGCTGAGATCACCCATACCTGATACCTCTAATATCTAATCTTGCTAATAAGAACAAGAGCATCATTAAGACCAATGAGCTCTAGTTCAGACAATATTGGTCATCAGTTTTCATAGAAGAAATTCTTATTTCTAGTCTAACATGTGTGCCCTGCTTTAAGCTACTCTCTGTGTGAACTTCATGAAAGAAATTAACATTATGCACTACCTATTATCAATAAAATTCTTTGGAATAAACTTTCTATCTTTTCAAGAAAAGATGAACATTATTATCATAGCTGCTAGCTTTTCTTAGCACTCAGCATTTTGTCAACTATTGGGAGCTGACAGGTCAAAATTTTCTAAAGTGTTACATGTGGTCTAATGTGGAGCATGATGCAGTAATAATTTCTGAATAACAATTCATTCAGGAAAAGCCTTTAATTCTTGCTACTAAAATACATTTTTGTTTAAAAATTTTATGATTGAAGGATCTAAGTAATGTGTGCTCCACAACAAAAACCTAAAAGAGCTAAGCTACCCAAATAAATTCACATTTAAATTAACATTACTGGCAGCATAACTAATCTATTTTTTGGTGCAACAAGAGATATAAGAAATATTGTGAGATAGTGATAAAGACCTCTACTCATTTTCAACTCAATAAGTATTTCTTATACGAATTTGATTTGATACTTCACCTATGTTAGTTGGTAATCACTTAGGCTTCATTTGGGACAACTTTTTTGCTGCTTCATAGAGCAGCTTTCTAGTACAATAAATCTAATTTTTGTACTAGAAAGTTGTTTTAAGAAGCAATAAAAAAGTTGTCTCAAACGAAGCCTTAGTCTTCATTTGGGACAACCTTTAAAGCAGCTTCTTAATAAAAAAATAAAATTTTTGTACTAGAAAGCTGCTTTAAGAAGTAATAAGACAACTGTTCCAAATTAAGCCTTAATTGGTTAATTGCTTATTTCAATTTGTTTTATGATAAGTTACATTTGTATGATCCTTTTACTTCAACCACCGCCTCTTAGCTTCAATTCAATCTCCCATTTTTCAACCATTTGGTCTTCAATTACAAGCAATTTCTGAGAAATCAAAATCAAATTCAAGTTGAGCATTGATACACTACAAATCAACTTAATCAAAGTGTAATTTACTTCAGTTTTTCATGAGTCAAACTGGAAGGAAAATTATAGAATTTCTATGGAGAACTAATTTACAAGAAAAAGTAACATCTGATTGAAAGAACAGAGAACAGCAAAGATTAAAAAAAGAAGAAAAGGGAAATCAAATAATCATGCGATAAATTGATTGATTATTGTTAGACTAACATGTAATTGAAGCATCGGTCTCACTTAATCAAGCTGTTCGAAAACGGTGTTGGTTTCTGGCAAAAAGTAATAAAATCTACTGCAGATTCCTTCATTCAATTGTTATGAATTAAATGAGAAAATCAACAAAGATTACTCGGAACCAAGCTTTTGAGATGGAGGAAATTTCGTGTAAGTTCTGAATAGGTTGAAATAGCGACGAAGACCGAAGCCTCCTCAAGGTTTAGGCAAATCTAACAATGTAAACTAATCTCAAAAGAGCTTCCTCTGACAGCTATTGATTCCTTAAGGGCATGTTTGGGGCAATTTTATTACTGTTTTACCTTTTAGACAGCAACACTAATTTTGTTTAACTCCTACTTTTTCACTATTTTTTAAAAACTTTTGAGCTAAAAATATTTTTTGTAAAAAGAGTAACTAAGCTACTTTTCCCACATCAACTTCACAACCAACTTCATATAATGTTGCAGTCGTCAATCTAATCTTAATTCGAGCTAAACATGATTTATTGACTTGGATTAAAACTTGCTTCAAATAAAAAATTGGTTTGAACTCAATTCTATTTGTAATTCTTAATCCAATATATACCCCAAATACGACTGTTGTCAGCATTAATATAAATTTTCTCAATTTTTTGTACCTCTGAAGAAGAATTTCTGGATATGGCAACCAAATGTTTTATCAGAAATGCATTATTTTCATATACAATTCAGCTTTCCGGTTCTTTAAAACAAACTATCAGGCTTCTGGCGCAAAAACTATCTCAATCTGATAAAAAAAAGGTTACGATGCAGGTCTAATGCCTTCACTGAGTAAAACAAAGAACATCAACTCAGAACACTAAAACGTCTCCCTAAGAATCCTGCAAAACCACAAAATCGTACCTAGCCTGTGCTTCTTCTTCGATGGCATCGCTGGACGGCAACTCATACCGGCATAACGGGCAAGTATTCCTCATTAACAGCCAAGGCACAATGCAATGTTCATGGTAATGGTGCAAACATGGAAGCTTTTTAACTTTCACTGTGAGCGAGATCTCATCAGTGCAAATTGCACAATGTGTGTTGTTCTGGGCAACATCTTCTGCTGTCAAGAGAATAGAAGGGAGGCTTTCTACCACAGATTTTGCCGCTGGGCGGCCACACTTCATCCACTCAGCACTGCCATGATCAACAAATTGGTCGAATACTTCATAATCTGATGGGTAGTCAAACCCCTCTTGGTCATCGTCGTGGACAGAATCAGCGCCGTTTCTAGTTACCATATTGTTCACAGCAAGGAGAAACTCCCACTCAACGTTTATCCGCTCAAAATCTAGCTCCTCTTCATCCTCCGTAGAGATAGGATTCTCCTCGTCAACGCCCGGGAAAGCCGCCAGGCTCAAGATTTCCCTTTCATCGACCCGTTCAGCGAGATCCTCCCATTCGAAATCCTCGATCGAGTCACTTCTGCTCTCCATGACGGGCAGGCATTCCCAGCGGAAGGAGGTATCGATCTCGTTGCCGAAAGGGTTGTCGCCAATGGCGATCATCTGCTCATCGGTGTCGGTTTCGGAATCCGAATCGACAATCCTGAGGCCCTCTTGCCCTATAGGTCGGGCGCGAGAAAACTGGTTAGATCCTGAGGCATAGCTCCGCATGTCAACAAAGAAATCATCGACGCCGCAATCCGGTAGGGGATCGGCGGGATCTGAAGGTACTAGGGTTTCGGGGTCATTATCTTCGTCGTCGAGCTCCTCGAAGGGGAGAAGGAAGAGGTCGGGGGGCACGGAAAGCGACATTGATGGATCAGAGAACTGGGTGGATAGCGAATGCAGAAGAGAGAGAGAGAGAGAGAGAGGGAGAGGGGAAAATTGCGAGGAGGAGGTTGGCAAAGAGAGCTCCAACCTCTCTCCCTCGGTTCTCGCTAACAAAAGTCAAGTCACGAGAATCTGTTCCCGGGAATATAAAAATTTTAAATTCCATTTATCACATTTTAATATTTTATTTCATTATATTTTTTAAATAATGAGTCACGCTTAATTTAAATGTAACAACAATTTTATCTTTTCTTCATTATATCGAATTAAATTTTCTTCTAAATTTAATAAAGAAATAACATTTCTGATATTTCCTAAGTTTTTTTAGGTATATCTCTATTTTTCTTAACATCAGTCAATATTTGACATGACTCAAAAACTCGATTAAAATCCGACCAAAAAATTTCAGGTTCGAGTCAACTCGAACATCAACTGGGTCGGGTTAGGGATTTTAACCCATTTGTAAAATCGAGTTGGGTTCGGGTTAATCCGGAAACCCAAAATCAACCTGATTTGACCCTTTTTTAATTAATTTATGAGGGTTTTAAAAAATTGTTATGAAATAAGTAAATTGTATTTCCATAAAATAATAAACCTTGCTGCTCAAATTGAATTAAGATTGATTTATTTTAAACTAATTGAAGTAAATCTTTTCTTAATTTGATTTAGGTTTAAATAAATCAAATTAAAAAAAATTAGTAAAACATACCCAAAGCGGGTCAGGTTCGAGTCTAAAAACCAGCCCATTTTGCAAAAATGGATTGGATCGAATAGTGTCAGGTCAGTTCCGTGTTGGACCTAAACCCGACCCATGACTCGATTTTGACAGCCCTAGTTTTATGTAACCAAACAATCTGAGGCAAATTTCTCTAATCTTCTACTGGAGCTACTACAACCTTTTCACATATAAGTTCATTTTGCATCCTGACTCTAAGAGTAAAGTCACTCATATCCACCAAAGCATCCTCATCTCTACAACTTTCACATTAAATAAAATTTTTTTACTGAATCATCCTTAAATTCAATAATAATATTTTTAATCCAAATTAATACTTAAAAATTGCATGGTATAATTTAATTGTATTTAAATAGAAAAAAAATAAGAAATTATCCTAATTTGAATATATTTTAATTGAGTATATTTTCTTGCAACATAGAATTAAAGATAGAAAATAGTTTAATGATATTTTTCTAACATGTTTTACCTTAGAATGGGCTTTCGAGGTCTTAAATTTACTTTAAGATTAGTGATATCTTATGATATTAAAAATCACATTAATTTTGACGTAAATCTAATGATTTTGAAGCTCATATCATATAATCTTTACAAGTATCTCACCTTTTTATCCAATGAGTTTGGCCTTTTTTATATTTTGTTGTATCAGAGAACTAAAGTTGCCTCAATTCTTGGAACTTTTATTAGGTCCGGTGTAAGGATGTAGAGAAACGTCCGGTCGAAGGCAAAATCCTGCCAAAAAACTCGGTATTTGCTCGGTATTGCTAGGTATTATTTTATAATAACGAGAAATACCGCTCTGTGAGGACCAATACCGAGTTATATATACCGAGCTATACCGAGCAATACCAAGTTGTACCGAGTTTTTTCTAGGAAAAACACGGTACAACTTTTGTATAACTCGGTATTGCTCGGTATAACTCGGTATTGGATCTTCACGTGATGGTATTCCTCGTTATTGTTTAGTATTGCTCGATATTTGCTCGGTATTTCTCGTTTTTTGACGCGATTTGGCCTCCGACCGGACGTTCCTCTACGTCCGGTCGGAGGACGTAATAATTGTTCCAATTCTTGAGGGATTTATATTCATACATACAAATTCTTATGGATTTATATTTCTAAAATGCAAATATTTATAAAGTTTGAAATACAACTTTATTTTTAAATAACATCAATGCATTTGCATATCCAATGTGTTTGCCCTTTTTTATATTTTGTTCTATCAGAGAACTAAAGTTGCCTCAATTCTTGGAATTTTATTAGGTCCGGTGTAAGGACACAGAGGAACGTCCGGTCGGAGGCAAAATCCCGCCAAAAAACTCGGTATTTGCTCGGTATTGCTAGGTATTATTTGATAATAACGAGGAATACCGCTCTGTGAGGACCAATACCGAGTTATATATACCGAGTTGTATCGAGTTTTTCCTAGGAAAAACTCGGTACAACTTTTGTATAACTCGGTATTGCTCGGTATTGGGTCTTCACGTGATGGTATTCCTCGTTATTGTTTAGTATTGCTCGGTATTTGCTCTGTATTTCTCATTTTTTGGCGCGATTTGGCCTCCGACCGGACGTCCGGTCGGAGGACGTAATAATTGTTCCAATTCTTGAGGGATTTATATTCATACATACAAATTCTTATGGATTTATATTTCTAAAATGCAAATATTTATAAAGTTTGAAATACAACTTTATTTTTAAATAACATCAATGCATTTGCATGAAAAATTTATGTTCTACCTTAATTTAACATTAGTAATATTTCTAATATGATTTGAAAGTTTGAGTTATATAAATAAATATAAAAATTTATGTGTTAGATATGTAAGCATATACAAATTTTATGTTATGTATGTAAATCTACCTATTTTTTATATTTAATTGAAAATAAATAGTTTTGCAAGAAAATAAATGGTTTGGTGCTTTTTTATTTTATAGGGGGAAAGTAAATGGAAAAAAAGTGTTAGGAGATCCTTATAAAAGATAAGACTATATATGAAGGATAACAAAATCCTTAAATTTGCTTTAAGATGAGCATAATACATTGCACAATAATGTTAGGATCTAGAAGATAAGTAATAATGTCAGGTAAATAATAATAATAATAATAATGTCAGGTAAAGCTTAGTTTAGAACAGTTTTCTCACTGTTTTCTAAAACAATTTTTTAATATATATTTTTTTAAGTTGCGAAGAAATAGTGATCAAAAGCTATCCCAAACGAAGCCCAAGACAACAAAGTAAGATGACCAATCAAATTGAATTAATCCAAAACCTAATAGTCATCCAACACATCTCATCAATGTCATGCCAATTAGGGGTGTCAATTTGGGTCCGGTTTGGGTCAAACCTGAAACTGACCCGGCACTGTTCGGGTCAACCTGAATCCTACCCATTTTTAAAAACGGGTAAGGTTTCCGGACCCAGACCCGACCCAATTCGGGTCTGGGTCAACCCGACCAGACACGAATGACCCGAAGTTGACCTAAAATTGCTAATTTTCGGGTCAAAAATCGAGTCAATATTCGATTTTCGGGTCAAAATCTGGTCAATCTCGGGTTTTCGGGTCAAATATGAATTTTCGTGTCACTTTCGGGTCAATTTCGGGTTGTTGGGTCAACCCGAACTTGACCCAATTTTTAAAACGGGTTGATTTGTTCAACCCGAACCCGACCCGTTTCGGGTTCAGGTCGTGTCAAAAATTGACACCCCTAATGCTAATTTTCTGCACTAATTAAACGATGTGCAACCAAAGGCATATAACAAAAAGCATGCACAAATCTCTTCACAACAAAATGGGTTCTATACAATCATTTAGACTTCGTTTGGGACGACTTTCTTTCTACTTCTTAAAGTATTTTTTTGTACAAAATTTAAAAAAAAAATATTATAAAGCTGCTTTAAGAAGCATAAAAAAAACCATCACAAACGAAGCCTAATGTTCTAAATAACAAGATCCATGAATCATTACATTCCTTCTCAATGATGAAAAATGCTAAGGAGATTAAACAATTATTTTTATACTTAGCAAGAGCACAAAGTGATCTTCCATCATATTTTTTGAAAAAATTACCAACCATTTCTATATGGCCCAAAAGCCTAAAACATACAATGAAATTAATTATTGCCCAATTATTTGAGTTCTATACATAGTACTAGATAAAGTGCAACATAAATCCTCTATAAATCAAGAAATTAATTATTGCCAAATTATTTTTCTAACTTTTTAGAACTAAAAATTCTTGTACTAAAAAACTGCTGCGTTAGAAAACAGTAAAAGAACAATCCCAAACAAAGCCTTCGTAGTAATTATAAATCTTATTAGCTTTAATCTATTTTAAAATATTTTGATGATCATAAATATAATTTAGTTCAGACTAATAATATCTTATTAAAACTTGGTTAAAATCTCTATACTATAAGATTATTTTAAGAAATAATAAAATCATTCAAGAAACTTGCTCTACAATATCTTAAAAATGTGATTTTTTTTTTCTTGAGTTTTGTATATCATTTTTTTTCAAGTATTTAGATTATCAAGATGGCTATCACACACACACACAGAGCAAATTGAGCAAAAATAAATTCAGGCATAAAACAATATAAATTATTAGTACTATATAAATATGGATCAAACTATACAATCACTTAGAACTCAAATTTCTAGAAGTTCTATCCAGATTGTTGAACAGGATGGCACACGCCAAAAAGGGATGAATTTGTGTGATTTTAAAAATATTTTTGAAATGTTAAAATTTTCTTTTTATTTATTTTCAAAATAAAAATAAAATTTAAAGTTTACTTATTTAAAAAGTGTAAATAGAATTTTTTTTTAATCCACTACATTACTCTTTCAATTATTTAAATCAAAACTACTTTTCAAACTTCTCCTTCAAATTTTGTATCACAAGCAAATTTAGATCACAACTTCTTTCATATCATCACATATCAATTCAAACATGTAAAGAGATGCAATAAAAGTAAAGGTATAGAAAGCAAAGGAGATGCAAATTGATGCATAACTATTTGATGACAATGGTTTAGACCCACTCCTGAGGAGAAATTATTATGTGCGGACGTCGAAAATAATTTATCATTCGAAGACCAACCAGAATGCGTCACGTCAGCAGTCCCGAGCGGTACTGAGCTATGGTATCAAGCAAGGGGCTACGTGACACATTTTGATTGGTCTCTGGACAACATTCGACGTCCGCACAGAATAATTCGCCCTCTCTGAGACCTCTAGAGAATCCCACTCTCTCGTTTTGCTTTCCCAAGATAAAGATGTCTCTCGTCATAAAGGGTAATGGCAAAACCATATTTTAACATCAACTTCAAATCACACAACTCATCTTAGTTAGTTGGTTGGGAGCTTTGGCTATCAATCAAGAGGTCTTGGATTCAAGTCTTGTATAAGTGATGTGTGTGTGAATTTATCTTAATTGGCATAAATATCAAAAAAAAAAAAAAATCCAAGATCTAACATAAAGGATAAATAATAATTCTCAATCAATTTGATTTTTTAACCAAGAAGAACATAAGATGTAAAGAAGAAGTAGATAACAAATTTCTTGAATTTTGTAGAAGTTCTCATATATGAAAAAATAAGTGTGGTATTTTATACACGAATCTATGGGGTTATGAGTAAATGACTTTTTGCTTGGAGTAGAAAAATGGGTGCAAGATCTCTCCATTACTCGTGAAGGAGAGAGTCTTCTCCGCCTGTTACTAGAAAAATGAGAGAATAGTTAAAATTCTAAGTAGGGCTGCAAACGAACCGAGCCGAGTATGTGAGTGTTCATGTTTGTGTTCATTTAATATCAGCTTGTTCATATTTGATTCATGTTTGTTCGAGCTTTAGCATTTGTGTTCATGTTTGGTTCATTTAAATTAAGGAGTGTTCATATTTGGTTCATTTAAATTAAGGAGTGTTCATGTTTGGTTCATGTTCAGTTCATGTTCGTTCGTTTAGTGTTTATCGAACTTGTTCGCGAACATATTTAACGAATTTTTTTAACTATCAAACAAACACGTTCATGAACGTATCTATGAAACAAACACGTTTATAATAAAAGAAGCAATTGTTTATGTAACAAAGGTAATGATTATTTATATTTATTAATTCTATAGTCAAATATTAATAATTTTTATCGAGCTTATTCACGAGTTCAAAATCGAACACGAATCGAGCTTAATGTCGAGCTTGTTCGCGAACTTCAAATGATGTTGTTCACGAACATAAATGAGCCGAACGCATTAGTGTTCAAGTTTGTTTATTTAAGAATCGATTATTTAAAATATTGTTCAAGTTTGTTTGTTTACTTAATTAAACGATCACAAACGAGCTTTAATCGAACCGAACAACGAGTAGCTCGTCGAACGTTTGGTTCGCTTGCAGCCCTAATTCTAAGAGAAGAGAGTGGACCCAAGCCATTGGCATCAAATCATAAATATATTAGTTTACATATTATTTATTTTCTACACATTTATTTTTACTACATTGTTCACATATTCCAAATGCTCTGTGATATTCTAAATGTCAAAGACTGCACTGTTCCAAACAAGATTAATAGTGAAGGTCAAGATAAAAGTCACTCTGCAAATATATCTAAAAAAAATTCAAAGTGATTATCTGATTTTGTCTCCAAATACTTCTCAATTTTGAGTTATAAATTTAAGTGCTTTATTTCATGCATTCTAATTAAGGAGGCATTCAAGAATTACACTCAAGGTGATTTAAAGAAAATATAACTCATAGACAATAAGCCTTGCAACATGATAGTACGGGATGATGTTGATATCTAATTGTAAGACGGATCTACTTGGAAACTAAAGAATGTTAGACATGTTCCTTGTATGAAGAGAAATTTTGTTTTTATGAGTCAGCTTGCACACTCAAGCTATGTGACATTATTCACAGGATATTCATTGAAAATGACAAAATAGGCTATAGTTATAGCTCATGGCAACAGTGAAGGTCCATTATAAAATATCATATTCTATTGTAATTTTTGATTCAATATTAATGGAAGTCATGGTAGAGGCTTGACCATATAAGTAAGAAAAATATGCATTCACTTCATATTATTAGAGGAAATCATCCTAATTTATAATTTCTATATTTATATTTTTTTTGTGAAGAATCCATACACGGCAACCAACAGTGTGAGCTTTTCAAAAATTGATTCAAAGGAGAAGTTAACGAAGTTGAAGTTAGTGTATACAAATATATGAGTTCCAACTCTAATTCTTTTTTATAGAAAGGTCTGCATATTTTGTTAACTTTATTGATTATTACAATAGAAAAGTGTGAGTGCACTTCTTGAAGCATAAACCAAATGTATTTGAAGAGCGTCACTTTGTCTATTCTAAGTGTAGAACGATGCAATAAGGAAAGTGAGACAATATGAGAGTTTGAGAAGAGATATCTATATAATTTATCTCATTTTCATAATGAATTCCTAGATGTAGTGTGGCTCCGTAATTGTTTCTATTTTTCCATGTTAAATATGCGTACTTTTCTATTGTTGGAGAGTAAAATCACGCAAAGAAAAACAAATAAGAAAAGAGACAAACTAGTTGAAAAGAACTATATAGGATTTAATGTGAAAAAATCTGAAATCGAAAAAAAAAAATCACGAAGCCACTCCACAGCAAAAAAATCTACTATCAAAATGGGAGAGTACAAATCTCATTTTCATACTCTACTTGTCTATATTCTCTTCTCACACTATTCTACATTCAGAACATACAAAGATAATGCACTTCTATTACACAAAAGGACACAACCGTTCAAGTAAAATAAGAAGAACAAAAAGAAAAACTGCTCAGCCTAACTCTCAGCACTGCGACATTGTAGTGCAACACCTCAACGCTTACTTATCTGTCTCACAACGCCGTGCTTCTGTGAACTAGAGCATTGCGACACAAAGTTCACAACATTGTGATGTTAAAATTGTAGTGTTGCGGCTCTATGCTATTTATCTCAAAGGGGTTCCACGGTACCTTAGTGCCGCGACATTGTTCAAACAAGATTTTTTTTTTTCAATTTCAAAATTAGTATAGGAATATAAAAATGTCTTGTCCAAGTTCATACTCTGATAAATCATCTTCATAAACAATGGAGTTCCACTAAATCACTCTTCTCATTATTCCGTAGGGGCTATCTTCTTCTCCAAAATTCTATATCGTATAGTTCATCCTTCAAAGTAGTTTAAATGGTGCACTGATGATCTGAAGGAAATCAGAATAACATCCGACAAAATAAAAATAAAATTTTAGAAGTTCTGGAATGAAAAAAATGGGGAAACCTTTCTTGTAGCATTTACTTAGATGCGTGATAAATCAAATTTCCAAGTCTACTTCAAATGCGTGTATAGTCGCAATGATAACTCGTGATTTTGAGTTATACGATGCACGTCTTTCATTTGAGACATTATAGTAGTTGAATTCCATATGTTACAGATCAGATGACAATTTATCCCCTACTCATACAATCACAAGATATTTAGTTTTCGTTTGAGGCAATTTTCTTACTGCTTTCTAAAGCAACTTTTCAGTACAAAATTTCTAGTTGAAGAAATATTTGTACTAAAAAGTTATTTTAGAAAGTAATAAAAAAGCTATCTCAACGTTTCGTTTGAGACAGCTTTCTTACTGATTCTTAAAAATGCTTTTTAATATAAAAATTTAAAGTTTTGCACTACATAACTGCTTTAACAAACGGTAAAAAAATTGTTCCAAATGAAATCTTGATTACTTACGTTGTCATTCTTGCATGCAAGCCTTTGTTCAAAAAGACAATCCTTGTACAAGAGGATAACAGTAATGATGAATTGCTGATTAATATTCGTGCCTTCATATTTGAGTGATTTACATTGGGATTTTCATTCAATAATCAAGTCAAGATAAGCAGCACAAAATTTTAAAATGCGATTTCAAAGTTTTTTTTTTTTTTTTTTTGAATAAATTAGATCTGATATTTATTACCAATTTCATTATTTTGGATAATTTTAAGCTAAAATATAAATCTGATTTTGATTTAAAATCTACCACCATAAATCTATTATAAATATTAATTAGAAAGGCCCGACTGACAAAGTCCTTGAGGGTGAAAACAATGAACTTTTGGTGAGTGCATTGAGATTCAGTGGCTTGTGCAAGGAATTTTGGTTGTTATACTGAATCTGTTTTATAATTGCTTTGGGCATTTCATCATATTCACCTTTAATACGCACTTCTTGGAATAAGTTAGGTGTTTTTCTCCTGACAACTAATATCAAAGCTTGATGTAGAATATGAGATCAATGAAGTTGGTAATAGAGAAGTTTGATAGCCTAAAAAATTTTGAGTTTTGGAGTACCAAGATGCAAGGATTGTTAATCTAGCAAATATTTGTGTAGTCATTATGGAGAGTTCAAATATGCCGAAGATTATAAGTGAAGAAGACAAAATAACCATGGATGAAAAAAAAACACTCTTTACAATCAAATTGACTTTGGTGGGTGAGATATTAATGGAGATTTTTGAAGAAACGACTATGGAGAGGCCATAATTGACATTGAAATCATTGTATATGATCAAAGTTCTCTAATAAACATCATCAAAAGCACATATTATATTTACCACGTATGCAAGAACACATTAAAGAACATCTTAATGAGTTAAATTTTACCGTTAGAGATATAGGACAATATTAATGTGGTGACTGATGATGAGAATCAACCTTAATTGCTCTTATGCTTTTTACTTCCCTCCTATAAATATTTCTGGGACATTATTACAGGAAAGAAATACAATCAACCAACAATTTAATAAGAACTCACTTATTTCTATACTGCACTAAGCTTGAAGGTATTGAAGATAATAAGTTGGTTGAGGGATTATTGTTTGTGAAAAATCTTTTGAGAAGAAGCTCAAATCTGATCATGGCACAAATAAGTCATATGACAGATTCAAAGATGCGTACTACTTTTGTTATAAGAATAAAGAGTATAAGAAGAGAGACGGCAAACGCAATGTCTGGTCTAGTCAAGGTTTGTGTTGCAAAAAAGAGATATACCAAAATGTAAGGTGCCTTGAATATATCGTAGAAGTCTTTTAAGAGCATTAAAGTGAATAATGAGGGGATTTTGCATATGATGGCATACCTTGTTGACGGCAAACGCAATGTCTGGTCTAGTCAAGGTGAGATATTGTAAGGAGCCTGCAAGTTGGCAAAATAATATTGGATTGGAGAAGGCGCCGGATTGATTGTGTTTGGATGAAGATTTGAGCTGAGATGGAGTAGATACGGGTTTGCAATTTAGCATACCCGCCCGAGATAGAATTGTATTGGCAAACCGACTTTGATTTAAGTGCAAGCCGTAGGAGATAGAAGTGACTTGGATACCGAGAAATTGAGAAAGAGAACCAAGGTCGCGCATGGTGAATTTTGATTTGAGGTTTTGAAGAAGAGTTTGAATGGATGTGTTGTTGTTGCCAGTTAGAAGAATGTCATCGACGTAAACCAAGAAGTACATGAAAACCCCGCTTTTGTTATAGATGAGGAGAGATGGGTCCGAAGAACTAAACTTAAATCTGAGGGTTTGAAGATAACTCGAGAGGGTATAATACCATTCGCGAGGAGATTGCTTAAGCCCGTAGATAGCCTTATTCAAGCGACAGACGTGTGTTGGATGTAAAGTGTCTTTGATGCCAATCGGTTGTTTCATATAGACAGTGTGATTTAAATTGCCATGGAGAAAGGCATTGGAGACGTCGGGCAGATGAATGGGCCAATGGTGGTGAAGAGCGACGATAAGGAAGACCCGGATGGTGGGGGTTTTGGCAACAGGGCTAAAGGTTTCAGTGTAGTCTAATCCATATTCTTGATTAAATCATTGAGCGACTAATCTAGCTTTGTATCGAGCAACCATTCCGTTGGCAAGATATTTGGTACGAAATGTCCATTTAAACCCCAAAATATTTTGATTGGGCATAGGCGGGACGAGGTCCCACGTGCCTTGAGATTGAAGTGCTTGGAATTCTTGTGACATGGCTTTACGCCAGTGTTCGGCTTTGGCAGCTTCGGCGTAGGTCGTGGGATCAGGTGAGGTAGTTTGATGAAGCAGATTTAGTATGGTTTTGGGCTTGAGGTTCCCGGTTTTGAACCTAGTCTGCATGGGGTGAGTTGAAGGACGGGTGATGGGAGGGGAAATAGACAGGTTATTTGAATGTAAAGTGGAGCCAGATGAAATCAAAGTATCAGGATTTGTATTTTGGCTAGGTGTAGTAGAATGAGTTTGAGAATTGGACGTTGTGTGATGTGTTCCGTTGATGTTGTTTAGAGATGGAGTAGGAGAGGATTGAGACGGTATTTGTTTTGAGTTGTAATTCGGTGTGTTAGGAATGATTGAAGTTGGAACGAGTGTAAGCGGAGGAATAAAAGTTTGTGCGGACTGAGATTGAGTAAAATTAGAACTTGATTGGTATGGAAAGATTGATTCGTTAAATATGACATGGCGGGAAATATATATTTGACCGGTTTTGGGGTTAAAGCGGCGATAACCTTTTTGTAAAGTCGCATATCCTATAAAAATGCAGGGTGTAGAGATGGGAGAAAGTATATTTGCGGTATAGGGCTTGAGTCAGGGGTAGCACAGGCAACCAAAAATTTTTAGTTGATTATAATTGGGCTGTCTTCGATAGAGCAAGAAGTAGGATTGCTGTTTAGAGACGATGTAGGTAGACGATTTATGAGGAAAATTGATGTGAGAAGGGCCTCGTCCCAAAAGGTTTGAGGAAGATGGGCTTCAATGAGTAAGCAACGAACCGTTTCGATGATGTGCCTATGCTTACGCTCGGCGACTCCGTTTTGAGGAGTATAGGGGCAAGTATATTGATGAATGATACCCTGTTGTTTGCAGAATAATTGAAGTTGACAATTGATAAATTCGCTTCCGCCGTCAGATCGAAGAATTTTAATGTGAGCGTTAAATTGGCGAATAATCATTTTTGAAAACTCAATAAATTTACGGATTACCGCATTCTTATGGGTAATGGGATATACCCAACAGTATTTTGAAAAGTCGTCGATAAATGAAACGTAATATCTAGAACCATTCATAGAAAATGTGGGGGATGGACCCCAAACATCCAAGTGAATGAGTTCGAATAAAGATTTAGCATGATGCGTAGATTTATTAAAAGGCAACCGATGGATTTTGGTTAATCGGCAAGAATTACAATGAGATGAATTATTCGTAGTACATATTGAAAGCTTTTGCAATGTGGTGGCGGCCGGATGACCGAGACGTTTGTGCCAAAGATGAGGCACGTCTTGAGCCGAGATGAGAGCCAGATTATGGTTGATGGAGGATGACCGAATAGGGTAGAGACCATTAAGGCAAGGTCCCTTGAGTAGAAGGCGACCCGTCTTCGAATCCTGTTTTTGAAATTCATGAGGAAAAAATTTGACGACGCAATTATTGTCAGATGTGAGTCGGTGAATGGAAATGAGATTGAAAGATAGGTTTGGAACATGATAAAGATTGCACAAATTAAGATTACCTTGCGGGGTGGGTAAAATTCCTTTACTTGTATGTTGGATTGGAACTTGGTGGCCATTTCCAAGAGTAACTTGATGGGGTCTGGCATAAGGTTTCATGGCTTGAATATGAGACGGGTCATAGGTAAGATGCATTGAAGCACCGCTGTCAAGATACCAATCAGCTGAATTGTTGGATTCTGATGGAGTGAATAGAGCGGTTTTCTGAGATTGAGATTCTTCGGTATAGGAAGTATCATGCCGGTACCAACATTTTATAGCGGAGTGGCCGGGTTTAGTGCAGATTTGGCAAGTGATGTCTGGTTCACCGGATTTGGCAGAAAGGATGGAAGAGGGCTAAAAGGTTCGATTAGGTGGAGGAGGTCGTCCGCGTTGAGAGTAGGTCTGACCGCGACCGCGTCCGCGAGGTGCAACGAGGGCGGTAGACGAATCAGTGATGTGCAGATTTTGAAATTCATTGGAGGAATCTTGAACAAGATTTTGTTCCTCACTGCAAAGGAGAGTGTATAAGGTGTCAATGCTGATGGGTTGTAGACTAGTTCGGATAGCAGTTTTGAAGACTTGATATTGAGCCGGTAGTCCGTTTAAGGTGTAGAAAATAACTTCTTCCGGATTAAGTGGAGATCCGATGGCTGCTATAGCGTCAACCTTAGATTTGACGGAAAGAAGATATTGAGTCATGGTT